CACATGTAGGCCAGACCAAGTGAGGATGACGGTTTCCTTCCCCAAAGGACATTAGTGAACCAGATGTGTTTTTCCGACGATCGACAATGGATTCATCGTCATCATTCCAGATTTTTATTGAATTCAAATTCCACCGTCTGCCGTGGTGAAATTCAAACCCAGGTCCCCAGAACGTTATCTGGGTCTCTGGATTAACAGTCCAACAATAATACCACTAGGCCATCGCCTCCCCTAAATAGCTAGTTTCACCTGCTATTTAATTGTCTTTTGCAAACAGAGAACATTTCTTGCACTTTGCCCCTTTCAATTGAAAAAAAGCTTGGGAAACAGACTTTCTTTGTGCATTCTCTGCGGTAATACCTTGACCAATGATAGTTGATTTATGTGGTTTGACTTTAATCAAAAGCTGGCAGTTAATCAGTTCCTGTTGCATACCTTGAGGCAATGCCAATACCAAATTTCACTTGCCGACAATCTGTGATTCTTGTCTTGAGTGCAAGATGAAGAGCTTTGGCAGTGAATGTTTCTTCAGCGGTAAATGATCCCTCATATAAAAGATGACAAAAATGTGGAAGACTCTTCTGCAAAAAGATGCTACCTCAGTTAATAACTTCGAATCTGGGATTGATAGATTTTTGCTGGTCAACCAAGTATATTGAGGGATATGGAACCAAGGTGGATGATAGCTATGATCTTATTGAATGGCAGAACAGACTTAATGGGTTGAATGCCCTCATCTATTCCCGTGTTTCTACTTGATTTGCCAATTTACTTGCTCTCTCTTTATTCTCTGAACAGGATGATGGTGGTTGGACGTCTATGATTTGGGCCACAGAATATAAGCATATAGATATTGTAAAGCTGCTGCTGTCAAAAGGAGCTGATATCAACATTAGGGACAATGTGAGTTAAACAGTTGGGCATAAAGGAGGCTAATCATACGTAGTCAATCTATATACACAATTATATTTGGGAAGGACAAAATGTTTCTGATGCAACTGCTTTCTAGTTTCATGTTTTAACCATTTAAGTGTTACACAAATGGGGTAAAGGAAATTTTAAAAATATAATGGGGAGCTTGGCATTGCTTTTTAACAAATAAGTACTACTTCTTGATTTGGTTTCAGTTTGGCACTAGTTGATGGAATGAAGTCTTCATTCTCTTTTGGTTGTAATGGTTTTATATAAGTTGAGTTTAGGCAGTTTCAACCTAATACATTGTTTGTTGCAGCTGTTTATCACATTTTTGTTGTTACTTTGGCAGTCTGACTTCTATCAAACAGAGTTACTGTGAGAAAACTATGGTGCTGTAACTGCAGCCCTTTGGCATATTGTTTGGATAGAATGAGAGGAGATTTATTGTGCATATATTTCATCTGATCAGATTATGAGCTGTATCTGTCAAGTATCATATTGTCTTAGAAGCTTCATTTTCCTTGTTGCCAGGTGTCATTCCAAAGCAGTTACCATTTAAATTATTTAATCCAGCCAGAGTTAATAAGTGTAACAGACTTGTCAATGTTAATAAATTTTGAGTGAAATTTATGAGCAGTTAGACAAACAAATTGCAAATCTTTTTTCTAAATTGTAGAGTGTACCCCTGAAGAGTGAGATGCATCAACACAAGTTACAGATTGAGATGTTAATATGTCACTCCTACTGAATTACAGCTTGTCCAGCCTGTGTAGAATTGTTTAAGGATGGTTCTTCAATTTCAAGCGCAATGACAGTTGCATTTTGACATGGTCTCTGTTTACCTGCAGTGCAATTTTTTTTCAAAAAATGTTAAAGGCCACAAGGCTACATGCTTTGCATTGTAGTTGCGTCCCCTCAAGAGTAATTGTCAGAACTTCACTGAGCAGGTAGTAATTTATTTAACAAAAAAAAATAGCTTGAACTTCTGAGCTACAGTATGTGGTAAATGCAGCATGTTACAAACCGAAGAAACCGAAAACTTTTGAAACTGATAGGAATCCCCTACACCAAAATAAAACAGCTGTTACCTTTAGAAACTATTTCCGTAAGAAACTAACTAAAATCCCTTAATTTAAAC